AATGCAACATAACTTTATTTACACTTAAGGCGAAATTAAAGGACTTTTGATACCAAGGCCTTTTCAGACGCAACAATCTATTAAACAGCGGGAAAATCAATCCATTCTGTAAGCGTTGTAAATGTCATGAGGTGACCTGCAGTACTGGTGCAGCACCAACCAACCTGACGGACATCGCTCCTCGTAAAGTGTCACCCTCGTGTAACACGTTACATATTGTTACACTGAATTGAATCAGAAGTGATTTTCTGGACTGTTGCATCAGTTGTTTACCGAAGATTTTCCGTCAGGCACCATCACTTTGTTGCATCATTGCCAATCGGTGTGAATGGATGATGGCTTGCCACAACTTGTCCTCCCTCCACACAAATCTCTTAATAGTTTCCTAATTTAATTTCCTCCAAAATCACTGTCATACAATTCATCATTATCCATATTTTAGGATTTTTTAAATTTGTTACATTTAAATATTTGATGGAGGTACAAGGGCCAAGTAAGACATCATGGCATCCAGAGGGAGATCACACCCTTGCCTGAGCGCTGTGATTGGATGTTTAGAGAGGAGCAGGATCCCTGATGTGTTGGGTCATCTTCTAAAATATGTTTCCATTAATGCATTTTAAGGTGGGGGTTCATCTTGAGCTCACATTGGAACTGGTGTGCACAGGAGCCACAAGGATCAGGTGGAGAGCGGGGACACCAGGACGGCGCTGCAGTTCTCCCTTTGAGCAGGTGAGTGTGATTTTGGAATTGTTACTCCTTGCCCTTTGAATTTGAATTTCACATACATTTATAATCTCTTTGGAGAGTGTTCTCCAGCCTTTATTGCGTTTTTTTGTTTTTGTTTTAACAGAAGCAATATCCTCTTACAGCTAAATTAATTAGATTGAATGTTCTGCAGCAGACGAGGCTCTCTTTACTGTCAGGTTGCACACTGACATGTCACCCTTAGTTGCAGAGATAGTGATATGCGCTGCAGGTTGATTCTGTGGCACATGCAAACAGTTCTGCTCTTTCATTAAACCACATGCAACGCGTCATGTTGTTAGTGTGTGGTCAACACCGCTCTTTTTGACATGAGAGAGTGTGTAGAGGGAAATAAGAAAAGTCCTTCGAATGGTGATACCTGGAAGTAGATCACTTCATCAGTTGATTTGGTACGAGTTAAAGGTAGGAAGCTACATAGTTATAATTTACATTTATAGTTTTTGTTGGTGGCCTGCACATAAATTCTTAATGTAACAGCTTCTGAGAGCTAAGGGTTTCCTTTAAACACCATCTATTCTCTAAATCTTTAACAGATACATACGCTTCCTTTACACTATATAGAAGAGAAATATATTTTTGTTTTTTTATTGTTTTATTGACCTGTTTGATTATTTATTTTATTGGTTCTGTGTCAGTATATTATATAGAGCTGTATTTCATGGTGCTAAATGTAATAAAAATATTGTGGCAAAAAAAAAAAAAATGAAGCTAATGATGAAGGTTGAAATGTATTCTAATGTCACATTATCAACCCTTCTTTTTTGCAATTGTATCCAGTCTGTTATCTGTTCTTTTTTTTATTAATATTTGAATGCCAAAGACTTAAATTACCATGAACAGTTTCATTACAATGTGTTGATTTTTATTTCTCACGGTGTGTATTTAGGGGAAGTAGATAATTTCAAATGACATGATGATGGTGGTGATGTGAAGCTGTGATGTCTGATAAGATTGACTTCTGCTCCTACATTTGTACTTGTTTAATAAAAGTCACATTTCACAGAATCATCCAGAGTGTTTCTGATAATATGCAACATGTAGAATTTGAACACAGTATTTCATCTGTATGTAGGGTTGGTGATAGTAATGGGGATAAGCATGTGATTATATTGTTTTGTGATCTACAGTTGTTGGTATTGGTAGAAAATGCTCCTTTTACTCAGGTTGAACTGTCATGTGTGACATAGTTTACGACAAGCGATCCTTAAAATCAACGCTTTAAGATGGTGATATACAACAACAACAGACATTTTGCAAGGGAGGGATGCAGACTGTGAGAAGAAAAGGGGAAGTGATAGTTTGGTTTGAAATGATCCAGTGTTTTGGAGGAAAAGGAAAACACATTTGAGTCTTTTTGAACATATAATCATCTTATGATGTGATTTTTGTACACACTGACCTCTTTGTCTATGAGTGTCTTCAGTAAGTAGGCAGCGTTAGTGCTTTTTGATTGAGTTTGATTCAAGTATAGATTTCCTCTGCTTGGCTTGTAATGGGGAACTTGGTGTTCCGGTGTAGCTAAAGGACTTCTACGCAAACACATCCTTCTCCCTCCCTGGGTATCATGTTCAAATTCAAATTCAAATTCAAATGGCTTCATGCCATAACGTTTGGGTTAAACATATACACAAATACACAATATAATCATTTACAGTACATCCTATCATTCTTAACGGTCTGACTTGTAATTTTAGAAGTGAGAACAGATTCGGTGTTAAGAATCTACATCCAAGTGGATTGTTAACTGAGATTAAAGATTTTTTGCTGTTTATAATTGATACAAGCTCAATGACTGCTGATGGGCTTCAAAATTGCATTATTGCGAATTACGTTGAGACCGATGCAAATCAGAAAACTTCAGACATCAAAGTCCAGTTCCTTCTGTCAAAAGCTGAGCCTGATTTGTTATTCGGATCTGTTTTGTTTCTGTTTCAGATCTCTGTTCCTCCTGCTGGTGTCTTCTGAAGACTTCCCTCCTGATCCAGATATCATGGAGGTCTTGTACATCAACTCGTCCCTGCTCTTCGTCTCTCACAGACCGAACGACACCAGCAGGGAGAAGACAGTCTATGAAGGCTGCAAAGACATGCCTGCCGTGCTCATTTGGTACCTAGGCTTGCAGTTCATCAACATGTTCATGGGCATTCCAGCCAACCTCATGGTCCTCTGGCTCATCCACAAGAACAAGGGCGACTCCTCCACCTCGGACATCTTCATCCTCCACCTGGCGATCCTGGACGTCTTCTTCTGTCTCATCCCTCCCCTTGAACTGGCAAACATCGTCTTCCTCACCACCAGCAGCACCTGGTACGTCCTGCGCTTCTTCTACGGCATTAAGGACTCCTCGCCGCTCTTCCTCTCCTGCATCTGCTGGACCGCTACATGGCGGTGGTTCACCCCATCACCTTCACTGAGCTCAAGGACCGGCAGCACCGAGCGGTCCTGGCCCTGGTTGCCTGGTTAATCACTCTGGCCTACGCCGCGGCCAAATGTGTGGGCAAAATCGACAACTTCGAGCAGGTCTTCACATGGATGATTCTGGCAACTTTCGCCTTCATGGTGTTCTGCAACATTGCGATCCTCTGGGTGCTGCGGCAGTCCGGGCCCGGCAGAGACGAGATGCACCCGGTGAAGAAGAGAGCGTTCAAGATGGTCCTCATCATCCTCGCTATCATTGTGTTCAACTACTTCCCGCCGGTGGCTCTATTCCCTTTCCAGAAGTACTTCTCTCCAGACGTGTTTCGCTGTTACATTCACTATGTCGCGTTCGGTTTGATGGACTTCAGCAGCAGCATCCAGCCGTTGCTCTACCTGTCCAAGGAGAAGCTGCCGTGGAGCGTCAACTGCTGCCAGAGTGGCAACAACCCAATCCCATAGAGACACATTAGTGTGTTTTCTTTTATCTACTGTTTACAGTTCAATGTGAATGCACTGTTGTTGTTGCTTAATCCTGTTTCTGGTTACTGAAACAATGTTTTTATTATTTCTTCAATTAGGGGCCTGGGTCCAAAAGTATCGCAAAAGTATCAATAGGCTGTTTAAAATATGTGACGTCTCAGTGGTGTCACCCATTGGTCTCTGAAGAGGCGTTTTTAAACCGAACAATGGTGGTAGCCATAATGGAAATGCTATCTCCACCTAACCCCTCATTACAGGTCAAGAGGTAGAGTTAAGGCGGGTCTTAAGCCTCCCGGCAAACAGCTACAACGTGGCCACCTGTCAGTCAACTGAGCCACGCCCCTTGGTTTTTTTTTAGATAAAAAAAAAAGAAAAACCATCCCGTGTATAATACGGAAATGAGCCATTTAAACCAAAAACATATTTTGTACCAGGGTGTTTATTTCTGCTGTGGAAATGGGTTTTTTAACATGGGTGTTTATGGGGTTTCCTTGTCTTTTGGAGCTAGCCTCGTGTGGACGCTCGAGAACTGCACTTTTTTTTGCTTTTCCGCTTTGGCGTTATTTTTCAACACTGGAGGTTGTAGCAAAATAGAAATGCAAGAGATGATGAGATTTGTCACGTTATGATTTGCTGAATAATTTAATTGACAGTTTTGGTCTGAAATCGGCTCGATTGTATTCAAGGAACATTTAAAAAAAAAAAAATCTTTTACATGTTTAAAAATGTATTAGTCTCCATTGAATTGGGGAAATTTTAGTCGAGACGAGGGCACTTAATCACAAATATGGTTTAGGAGAGATCACCTGATGTATGATGGGAAATGTTTTCATAGTTTAGATAAGCTGAACATTTAAAGTGTAGTCCAGCAGAAGTCCAAAAAGTCTACGTTTTGAGCACATTTGTTCTGGAGAAGGGAAACTTATTTTACATCTTACAGCTGTGAGGGGAATAACCTTTCACATTGACGTAATGTTTATTTTCCATTTGTATATTTGTCTTGCATTGCTAGCTCAAAAGTCCTCACATCACAATCACTTGAGCGTCGCTTTTTTGTAACTTATAAATAAACAGCAGTATCTAATGGTGATAAAAGTGCTTTTAATGTTTAATATTATTCAGCCATGAGGTTTCTTTGGGGAAAAGTAAAATCGTCCACGTTATGCTCATTTCCATGTTGTGTTACAGTGTATTTTTCTTTTGTTTTGCATAATATTATATAAAAAGTACAAAAAGAATATCTTTGTATTTTTGATTTTGATGAACATTTGAAGACTTTTTCTTCATACAAGAAATAAATTCCTATGAATGTGAATAAAAGATACAAACTCCACTCTGGTTAACATTTCTCTTTAATTTAGTCACAAACCTCACAGGAAAAAGGATTAATAAATTCTTATCGGCAAACACTCACATTGCTTTATACGTGTTAAAACCAGTTGCCACAACAAATAGCAGCGCTGCCATGATTAAAATGACAATTTACTCCCGTGTGTTCATGTTAATAGACTTAACAAGAAGCCCTAAAATACCTACGATAAGTGGCTTGATCAGCATGGCTCACTAACGATAATTCATTTACTACTGAAAGCTAGTCAATCAATACTGAACATGTGCAGTAACAGGATTTTCCTCAACATTTGAAAGAAATACATTCATGTCAGTTCACTGTATCAGATGCTGCCTGTATATCTCAAGCTATATACAGCAATATATTAATAATCCTCCCATTTAATCACTTATTTCACACACATTACTAACCCAAACCCTCCTACTACATGTTTATAAATGTGTGTAAAAAGCATTGCGGTATGTATTAAACAGCTATACTGTTATTTCCTACTGGCCCATGTGAGATTTTTATTTCTCCACACAGAGGTCAGGACCAGCTCTCCTACATGACCTGCACTTTCAGGAACTCCTTTTCTTTCTTGCTTTAGCTGGACCGTTAAAAATCAACATTTCCATTCAGACAAACAATCAACATTTCCTTTCCTTAAAAAGGTTTCTTTCAGGGTGCCAGTTACCGGTCTGTAACTCCTCACACACAGAATCATACAGAGCAGATAAATATTTGGACTTACTCAAACGGCAAAGATTAGACAGCAGTGTATTTCACTGTACCACAAACATCACAAACAGCTTTTAGCCTTTAAGTTCATTCTTGAAGTCTGACACACAATCGAACTGCCTGAAACAGCAGTTAACAGCTTCATCTTAACTCAAGGTCCATGTGGCAGCTTTTTTGGTTGTTCAATCACAGCACACACACAGTTCAAATCATAACAGCACTACTTCAAACCAGCTTAGTTAAGACAATGCAATACACATATGTAGTGTACAGTTTGACTAAAACTGCAACCGCTGCAACAGCTGATATCAGTTCATTCAGGCTGCTAGATTAGAGGTTGGTTTTTAAAGTGAAAATGCCTTTTATGCCTTCACTAAGCCTATGCAACAATAACAATATAGTTATCCTTTGACGTCTGCTGTTTCAGAGCAGCCAAAAAAATGATTATAAGAAATTTAGTAGAGGAAAGTAGAGTTTGCTGAAGTTAGCAAAGCGTCAGGATTTTCAGATTTTGTCATCGTTATTATGAGTATTGTTTCCATCACACTGGTATCAGAGGGTTACTCTGCTTCACCGTATATTCAAGTCTAGGAAGAAGTAGTGTCCGAACATCTCTCACAGCGGGGTGAGTCTGAAAGCTCTGTACTTTCAAGATTTTCTTTTCTGGGCTTCTGAGAGAATTTGGTTCTCGTTTTCTCTCTGTTGCTAAAAGTCAGCGGGGGTTCATTTAGGCCTCGCTGGTTCCTTCCTCGCTCAAACCCTTCTGCTCCTTCGCCGCGTGTAACTTCAGGTGCTTCTTCAGCGCCGAATGGTCGGTGTAGGTCTTCCCACACTCGCTGCAGAGGTACACCTTCTCTTTGGTGTGGACCAGCTCGTGTCTCTTCAGGTGCCCCAGCCTGCTGAAGCTCTTGCTGCAGTACGAGCAGCTGTACTCCTTCTCTCCTGTGTGGGTCCTCTGGTGCAGCTTGAGGCTGCTGGCCACCGTGAACGTCTTGCCACACTCGCCGCAGCTGTACGGCCTCTCCCCTGTGTGCATCCGCATGTGTATGGTGAGGTGGCCCGTCTGGCTGAAGGTCTTGTTGCAGAGCTTGCAGCTGTAGGGCCGCTCTCCGGTGTGAATCCTGTAGTGCGTTTTCAGGTCGCCCAAGCCGTTGAATCTTTTCCCGCACTGAGAGCAGGCGTACGGCTTCTCGCCCGTGTGGATCCTCTCGTGTATTCTTAGGTTTCCCGCGTTGCTGAAGGTTTTCCCGCACTCCTGGCAACTGTACGGCCTCTCCCCGGTGTGAGTCCTCAGGTGGACTTTGAGCTGGTTGTGCTCGTTGAAGCACTTCCCGCAATGCGTGCAGGAGTACGGCTTCTCTCCGGTGTGGATACGTTTGTGTATCCTGAGCTGACTGGGATGGGGGTACGTTTTGCTGCACAGGTTGCAGCTATAAGGCCTCTCCCCTGTGTGCGTCCTCTTGTGGGATTTGAGGAGATCGGCGCGACCGAAGCGCTTGCCGCAGTAGCAGCAGGTGTGGGCTTTCTCGCCGGTGTGAGTCCTGAGATGGACTTTCAGCGCGTTCGGTCGGCTGAATGTTTTGGGACAGGAGGTACATCGCAAAAACTTGTCGCGGACATCCAAAACGTCGCCGTCCGCAACAGCTGGTGACTTGTTTTCATGAGGATTCGCAACTTCAGCCTGTCCGCTCGCTCCCTCTGGGTTCGGGAAATATCCTGACGCACACTTCAACTCTTGATGAGAGACACTGTCACCGTACTGCAACGCCCCGTTCTGCTCTTCTTCTTCAGTCTTAATGAGCTCTTCATCCTGCATGCAGCTGTCAGAAACCACAGTGACTTTAACGTCACTGTCTGTCGAGGCCTGTAGGTGGCAGCAGAGGCACATAAGCGTCACGCCGTCACAACTCACCTCGGTGCTCTCGCTTTTAATCGGCTTCACTGTCAGATTGAGAAGCGCCGACGGCTGGGAGAGGTCGATAGCGCCGCTCTCCTCCAGGCCGGGCTCCGTTTTCACAGATACCATGTCACTGGTGGAGACACACGCCTCTGCAATAGTCACACATTGTCTTTCTGGTGTATTATCGATCTGCGGTGGTAAGCAGGCGGAGGAAATGCTCTCCTTCGCCCTGTTCTTCCTCCTGAAGCTCTTCTTGTCACTGCTGCATATGGACACCTTGAACAAACCCTGGCCGGGGTTGATGGATGGATTGTTCCATTCTGAGGTCGAAACGTGGTCAGTGACATCTTGTTCATGAGCATCTGCAAACATAAAAAAAAAAAAACACAAAAATCAACAACTTGGTACAGCCTGCTTAAGAGCCATATACTTAATTTCAAGCTTTGACAGAAATAATGTAACACTAATTCATGAACGATAACGGTGGAAGCAGAACACCCTGAATACTATTATGAACTATTACAGACACTTTGTGCAGCAGAACAAGCAGCAAACACAAAACCTTATCCTCCCCTTACTTTGCTTATTTACACATGCAGCTGATATCAAGCTCTTATATGACATCATGCAACTAGTTACCTTCAAACTTAAAGTCAACATTTAGCTCTTTATTTAGGGTGTTTTATCGTAGAGTTTTTAAAGGAAGGTGAACACAAAGTACCGGTTAACAGACAGAGAAATACATTCATAATGATTAAAAAAATAAACCACATTGTATAGATATTAATAGAAATCCAAATCAGAGCATCATCTGTCATACTGACTGAGAAGTCGGTCAGCACAGTATCGGTCCTAAAAGTAGTCATCAAATGTCTATGACTTTTTTTACATGACTCATTAAGAAGGCCTGCTCTGTGACAGGCTGCGAGCCGGACTCTTCTGTAGCGGTGACAGAGAGGAGGACTCTGAACAAACTGTTATCCATTGTGGATAATCCTGATCACCCTCTGCACACCCTACTGGACAAACAGCGGAGCAGCTTCTCCAACAGACTGATCCAACTCCGCTGTCACAAGGACAGATACAAGAAATCTTTCTTACCGAAGGCCATAACTCTGTACAACAGCTCACCTCAACTGTCATCATGATAATATCTGTCTCTCCATACTGTCATCTGTTCTGCACATGTTTCAATTTACTAATGCACTCATGTTCACTTCATTTGTCTGTCTACTCGCCGTTATATTGTATAGTTTCTGCTTATAATATGTCTACACTCATGCACTTTAACTTATGTCAATACTGTCCATTTACTACTCTGTTTTTGCACATTTACATTTAATCTTCCTATTTAAGACTAGTAATGCTAAGTTAAATCCTGGTTGTATATATTCCCATTCTTAGTTTTGATATTTTTAGTGCTTATTTACTTTATATTTAATATTATATCATGTTTAGATTTGCTAACATTGTGGGTTTTTTTTAACTCATATTGTGTGTTGGATAACCTGCTGCTGTAACGCCACAATTTCCCAGTTTGGGATCAATAAAGTAATTCTATTCTATTCTATTCTATTCTATTCTAATACGCTCTTAATATAAATGTTTTAGTTTTCACTCCGTAAAGCACTTTGAATCACTTCATGTTTAAATGGTGGTCTAGAAAATTGAAGGCAATTAAATTTACAAAGATCAAGTCTTAAAAAAACCCAATATATGGCCCCACCACAACAACAACAACAACAACAATAGTCTACACATGAAGGGATTGTCAACATCCACTTTTTCAGTTACTACTAATCCTAGAGTTGAATAAATGATTTAAAAGTATAATATGAGGCGACAGTGAAACATCTTCTACTATTATTAAAGCAAAAAACAGACAAGCGAGTTCTGCAGGTTGGCGATCATCGATTCAAATGACACACAAGTCAAATGTTCAGATTCAGAATCTACTTTCAGGTCTTTTACTGATTTAAAGAAATCATTAGCAGCTGATGTAAGTTTGTTTGTTTTCAGAGAAAATACAGGTTTGAAGATCTTTGGTAAACATGACACTCCCCCCCACAAAGAAAAATCAGATTGAGGCTTTGTTATCAATTAACTCAGTTTGTTAATGAAATAACTACCCAGTAAAACAGCTCTTTAACCTGCATGCTGCTTAGCTGCATCCAGTTACTTCAACTGACCCTCAACTCTCACCACAGATTTGTTTCTTTCACAGATTCTTTTTATTTGTTCAGTCTTCTTCTTTGTTTTTGTTTCTGCAGAGCCATTTCTTCACACAACAAAACTCAAACTGTGTTGGGTCGGCAGTGGCACACACACTGAATCTGCAGTTGCAGCAGTTAAGTAACACACACACACAGACACACACTTTGTCTAGGTAAACACACACCTCACACACACACACATCAGCACAATTTGCTGACAAAGCAGACAAAAAAAGGTCAGTGTCGGCCCTGCAGCTCCCCACACACACACACACACACACACACATCCTCCATCATTTAAACCACTCTTCACCTCTGTTAGCAGACTCCGTGCTCTCCTTTGCAAACAGCAGCTGCTTCAGGCCCTCGTTTTCAGACTCGATCCTGCGGATGGTGCCCTGGTACTCAGACAGGGTCCGGTCCACTGAGTCCAGGATGTCACTCACAGTCGCTTTGAAGATCTCGTTGAGTGAGGACTGCAGGAAGCTTTTCAGATCGCTTGACTTGGCCATGATAGATCGAGACGAAAATATGTGGGGGAGGAGGAGGGGGGGGGAGAAAGAGGGTGTGTGTGTGTGTGTGTGTGTGTGTGTTGCCACTGCTGCCGTGTGCGGAACAAACAAAGCAAGAGACAGTCGCAGGAGAGTGACGCGCGGACGCGAGAGGCTCACAGCTCTGTAGCGCCCCCCTGCGGCGCGGCGGAGTAACAGCTGCGTGTGAAACATCAAGACACTGCACAGAGAAGTTACCGTGGAGATTAAAAAAAAAAAAAGTGTTTAAATGATATCAAGATTGCTGCAAAATTTAAAGCAATACTTCAAAACTACTAATACCAAAGAAACTACAAGTTACTGCTTAATGAGGTACAACAACCTGTAGCTATCAACTTAGTCACTACAACTTGAAGGACGCTCATAAATACTAGGTAATGCTCTTATTTTAATATCATTATCATGCCAACTATGCTGCCTACTTAGCCTTTTAATGTCACCTTATTCAGCTAATATTCACTTTATAATGTAGCTTATGTTGCTATTTCTGTATGTTCATTAGGAATGATGGTTATTTTACCAAATTGGTTGTGTTGATAATCTAAGCTGACTTGGTTTCTTCAAACTGTATGTAATAATATTCTAAAGCAGGGAGGGCAACTTTGGTCACAGCGAGGGGCCACATTCATTTAATTCTCACTGCCAGAGGGGCCAAATTGTAGGATACGAAAACAATTACGGTCAATTACGTCTCAAATTTATCTTAACATATACCAGTTGTCAAATATTATTATGGACGTATTTCTGGTTTTCATGATTTCATGGCAGATTTTGTCATGTTTTCTAAATGTTTTCCAATTAATTGACGTGTAAAAAATGACCTGAGGGCCACGTTGAGGGTTGATGGGGGCCGCATGTGGTCCCCGGGCTGCCAGTTGCCCGCCCCTGTTCTAAAGCTAAGTGATCCCCAAAGTGGGGTGCAGGACCCCTATTGGATCCTCAGAGTAATGACAATAGTAATAATAGCAAAGCATGCCACATCTCTATGAGAGGACTTCCAGGTAAATGTAAGACTGAAAATGAATCTGCGGTAGACAAATATGGAAGTTTCATTTTTACAGTATTTGCCTTCAACTTTAAAGTGTCTTTTTTTATAGTTTTTTTGTCACACCGAAGTGCTATTCTGTACTTTTTGCATCCAATGTTTAGTGTTAGTATAGGAATTTGTTAGCACAGAGTGTGAGTGACAGTGATATGTTTTCATCTGCAAAAGGGGGGAAGGCAGAAATAGTTTGGCAACCACCGAGCTAAGGTTACTGCAATACAGTAAGCAAATCTACTTATTCTAAGTGAAGATGCAAACTAAGTAAGAATGTTGATGCATTTGCTTAATGCAACACTTGATAGCGCTTATTATGATGTTGCATTTGATGTCTATTCTTTGTATAATTAAGCAAAAAATGTCAGCAATGCCAACTATTTCTGCATTCATAATTGGTTGAAACAATGAAAGACACATCTTTGGAAAATATCCAAAGAAAATAAAACGAAAATATTTTTTTTAAAGTATACCAGAAGTAGTTTTTAAAATACTGCTTAAAGGAAAGCCTTTTTAAAAAAAAACATGTGTGGCTTTTCTGCCCACAATCCAGACACTGGGCCAGTAAACCAATCGTAAAAGGCACAACTAATGTCAGTGTAGCTGATGACATATTGAATCTTCATACCATCTGGTTTCTCCACATCAATCCTGTTGTCATTCTCAGGAATGAAGCTGAGCCACTCCCCTCACCTGACCTGTATATGTATGCCTACATGCCCTGCAGGGTTGTGGGCGTGGACTGAGGCCTCTCAGGTGTCTCTGAGCTTCTGAGTCATCTGCCAATCACACCGTGCCTTTCTTCCTCTCTGTAGCCATTTAGCAGCCTTCTCTTTCTGTCTGTCCCTTGAATTTGTACCCTTTCTTTCCCACAGCCTCTCGGAGACGGAAGTCGACTCTTGATCTATTCAGAATGGACGGGAAGCACAATGAAGAAGGCGGAGTACCCGGTCCAGACTTGGACTTGTGACTTGTCTGCATCTTTATGCAACACCACAGACTAAAACCCTGCTCGGCTTCAAAAGAGCGGATGTGAGGCTTGTTTGTGTGTGCAGCAGATTCAGACATAATCAGCTGAGGGTTATTTGTATGCTTGTGTGCGTGTGTGCATGTCTGCATGTCTGCCTCTGAAGGCACAGCTCTCTGACAGCAGTGTAAACCCAGTAAAACACAGTGGTGTGTCTTTCCCTCCCACAAGACTTGACTTAAAACCTCACACGCTGGCTGATCATATGATGTTGCCCTAAAGAGCCTGGAGGGGTAAGTCATGCTTCCAGAGATTCCTCCTAATTCCTTTTGCAGTTTTTTATTGTGGTTTTAATTTTTTTTCCAATTATGTCTTTGCCATGTTCACTAGTGGTAATGAATTACATACCAGGTAGTGTTTATCCTCCTCAGACAAACTATGTTCACATAAGTCTTTTCACAACTGTGACTTTGTGCCTTCCTCTTTCTACTTTATCCTTTTTCTCTTTTACATCTGTACTTCTCTTTTAGCATTGTGGTAACACATACTCAAGGTTGTGATGTTCTGTATTTACATTATGCATTGTAGGCAACCTCTCCCAGTAGTCTGCAAATGACGACTTCAATGTGTGGTTTGAAATATCCTGATTTATCCTGTTTTCCTCTTTGATGAAAGCTTTTTTTTTTTACATAGGTACTTCTGCAACCATCTGCAGATTTCTCAGGTTGTTATATTCAACAATCCTAACAACGATCACACTGCGTAGAGAGGATTAACATTGTTATCATTCGAAACACTTTATGTGTAATTGAAAAGAGCAGCTATAGGGATCTTAATCAAGACTGTCAGATATGACAATGGACCAAATTGTTTAAAGAAATCAGTAAATGAATGAGTCGATTTGTCACGTGTAAACATAAAAAAAAATAAAAAAGAGACAAAACTGATTCATAATCTAAAGTTTCAATGAAGTAGCTCTACATTTTAAGTTTCAAATAGGGGATAATTCATTTACAGTTGATCCTCTTGGTTAATCTGAGTTAACTCTCGTGCATGTACTGTAGCACTTATTGCACCCTGACAGGAACTGAGAAGTGAGCACCCACACAGGATATGTGGTCAGGGTCTGTCCCGGATGTGGATTGCATGACAAGAAAAGAATCATGCAGGCAGACAGAAAAGTAGAGTCATAAATATCAAGAGAAATGGAGAAGTAAAAGGATTTGTGAGATAAAAAGGCGACAAATAATATGAAGTTACAAGGTGGGATATTTAAGCCGTGATGATGTTCTGCTGCTGGTGTTCTGTCACTGGCATTGATGTTATCAGGAGGGATGCCTCCTTGGTTTGTGTTGACAACATGGAGCTGAAGCTTGAACTCTTTCACAGTTTTATCCTTAACGCAGAGTCAGAGTGCAGCGTGCTGATAAAATGATAAACAGCAACTGTTCAAATGCTCGCCAGAAACAGACCCTCAACTCCACCCACCACCATGGCTGATCCGCACAAAAACCTCTATCTCTTTCTCTCTCTCTCTCTGTCTCTCTCTCTCTCTCTCTCTCTCTCTTGCTCGGCTTACTTTGTGTCTGTGGTCAGGAAGTACAAACTGGTTTACATGTCATTTAAAGCCTGCTGCACTGCAAATCTGTAATGCCACACCAGGAAGTTAAAAAGAAAAAAAAGAAGAGAACTATCATCTCAAATAGAAACACAACCTTCTCCAAAACTGGATCATTTCTGCTTTCAGGTGGTGAGTGTTCAGTATTCTGTTTATTTCAGTGTTGTTATTACACTTTGGAGTTTCGGGTTTCTTTCAAAGTGGTTTTTACAGATTTACAGAAAAAAAATACAAAGCCACTTTAAAGAAATCACTTTGATACTACAGCCAAATATAGCATAGAGTCTTATGAATGACTTTTTTTGTCTCTGAGCTCATCAGATGTTCCTCTTGGAGGTTCCCCAAAAAGTTTCTTTTTTTCTTTTCTGTGTGGCATTCAAATAGTTCATGAACTTTAACTGAACAGTTTTGCATTTGTATTCCAGGGAGGATTTTCTTTTTGTCTCGCTTCTCATCATGCATAAGGGTTTGATTATTTGAAAATGAACATGCTTTTTTTCAATCCTACAGATGTGTGAAGAGCTTTCGTAACCTGCTTCAGGATCTCACACTGAAAGGATTTTACAAAATGATCGTCCTTCTAACAGCAGAGGAGGCCGTATTATAAGCGAGACAACATTTACAGCTACAGAATCTGTCCCCTCAACAAAGGACTTGTGACTGATGGAGGAGGAAAACCTGTTCTCCTCTCTGCCAGATGTTACAAATTCAGTCCTTCAGGAGCCTGAACAGGACTTGTTGACCCCTATAGACCACCAGTACGTCAATGGAGAACAGGAGGGCATTGTGTGGGGCGATGAAGAGGTTCAAATGAACCAGGAACCAGAGAAAGATCAGCGCAGCCTCTCCCCACACGCTGGCAGTGACACTCCAGACGAGGCAGAGCCGTGGGAGCAAATAATATGGCCGCCGGTGCGCCCCATGACCTGCACCAGCCCCCCGCTGTCCTTTGCCACAGTGCAGTGGGACATGCCGGACTCCTCTGCAGAGACACGCAGCTTGGCCAATGAGCTGGACTCTGTTATCGGGACGAGTGTAGGCACCACTTCCCCATCACCTCACCCATCAGAAGACATAAGTGATGACATTCTCAGCGAGGAAGACAGAGAGGAAGAGGAGGGATTTGATTCTGGGCTTCTGAACTCGGATTTAGAGCTGAACGGAAACAACTTGCCGGTAAGTAGTCACGCTGCCAGCATTTTGAATTTTACCTTTTTTTAAATTTTTTATCCCTTTTCTGTTTTAATTTACAAACTAAAAAACGTTTTCCTGTGACAAACCCTTCTTTCACTTACCATGTCAAGCTGTATCTTTTAAGAGAGACATGCTCGGGTTCATGCAGTACATTGAGCAGTTATTGGAAGACTAGGGTGGACATAATGTTAGTCAGAAGAAGCTCAGAGTGCCCACTGACTGATCACAATGTCTTCTTGCTATATTAACGTCATGATCGGTGGTTTGTGTTGCAACCTTCAGCCATGTGATGCCGAAGATGTGCAAGAGCCGACGACACAGGAAGAGGAAGACTCAACACGAGAGCTGTTAGGCAGTAGCAACGGTACGTGTTATTGAGAACGAGACATTTAACAAGGTGTGAAATAACTGTGTTTTTCCATTCGTTGCTCAGTTTGACTTTAGAATTTCATGATTTGTATTTTGAATGTTTGCTTATTACTTGCGGCATGTTAGAAATGAGTTGAGATTTAACAGCAGACACGTTTACCTTCTAGAAAGTTTCCCTGACTCTCTGAGGACAGACTCAGAAGAAGAAGAAAAAGAAGAAGAAGAAGAAGAAGAAGAAGAAGAAGAAGAAGAAGAAGAAAAAGATCAAGAGGAGGAGGGGGGTCAGTCAGAAGGCTTGGAGCCAGCCGCGTCTTTAGAAGTAATCGATGCTCTTGAGGAGATCGAAGGCTCAGAAGACGAGGCGGAAGGTTTTGTGGATTTACAGCTAGAAGAGGAACAGGAGGAGCCCGGGGTCCTGCTGACGAGAGAGGGAGACGTCGAGGAAGAGGAAGAGCAAGCATCAGCGAATGGTGTTGAGGCTGAGGAAGAGGAAGTAGAAGAAGAAAAGGGTGTGAGGATTACCTGGACTGAAGAAAGTGAAAAGGCAGAAGCTGCATGTTGTCTGAGTCGCGCGTAAGTATCATGGACTTCACAAAGGGGAAGCAGAAATGTGTTCACATCACGATATCATTTTGCAATCTTTCTTGACGTTATATAACAACTGCTTTTCTTACTTCATCTGTAGGGAGGTCCCTGCAGAGCTACAACAAACTGATGAAACCGGGCAAACTATAAGCCCAGATGAGCGATTAGATCTGACACAGACGGAGCTATTGGATGAAAAGAGGCACTCCGGGACTGAAGAGGAGCCAGAGATACAAGGAGAAGGTTCCACAGGACTGACTGAAGAGCTAAAAATGTGCAAAAATGTGGAGCCTGATCAGTCAGAGGCTGTGAACAGCATAGAAGAACCGCAGGTGCATGCAGCAGGTAATGCAGAGAGGGTAGAGGAGGACTCCAAGGAGATACTGGAGCTGACTGAAAAACTACAGGAGACAAGTTGTTTGGAACATCAAGATTGTGGGAAAATGACTTCACAGGACGTAGAGATGCCACAGCAGCCTGAACACACTGAGCAGCTCGAGGTGACTGAAGGGAAGGAGCAGAGCCAAGCAGAGGAGCAACACTCCGAGGACCAGTTAAGTCAACATCTGGAGCAGATGGAATTAGAAGAAGTGTCAACCCAGACTGAAAAAGCAGACCTGCCGCAGGACTCGACTCTGTCAGAGCAGATATTTAGCACTGAAGCTGAAGACCCCGGCGCGGCAGAGCAGCAGGAACAGACGGAGCCATCGGAGCAGAATGAGCAGCGAGGGACCGGCGAGCAGCACGTGCAGTCCGAGAAGACAGACGCGTCGGAAATAACAGAGCAGCTGACGCCTGGTAGCGAGGTCACGCAGCAGACAGCAGAGGCAGAGTTCACTCAGGAGGAGAAACAGGCTGAGATGTCACATCAGGCTGAGGAAGAGGACGATGTAAAGGATGAAAACGTGCAGACATTTGCTTCAAATGGAGTGCAAGCCAAGCCTCATATGAACGGAGGGGAGGTGGACAGAGAGGCGGCCCACCTCCTTGCTGGTAGGCTGTTTAAGTTGGACGGGTTCCAGCGTGTCGAGGTGGTGAAGCACATTGACAAAGAGTAAGCACATTCTGTATTTACTTTTACCTTTACTGTTCTTCTAACTGTGTGGTGATGCTGTTTCGAGCTCTGCAGCTGATACCTCAAGTTGTGAGCTCTGAGGTGCAGGTGTAGCTTTTCTGTCATTAACACATTCCTTTCCATTCACACAAACACATGCAGTCATAGTGACTATAGATAGTGTGCACTGATAGAACATGAATACAGTGATGACTTTAAAGTCATGCATACAACCAACTAGACAGCATAGATTAAAGAATCAGAGCTCTTTGTATACATTTTCAACAAGTAAAAAAAGGAGAATTAACTTTTACAATCAAATCTTTAGACCTTCATTTTCTTTCTTTTTTGATAATTTTCCCACAATTCCTTCAATATCTGGTGTTTTAAAGCTGTGGACAAAGTGGCGTCTCTTTGGTGATCTTGTCCTGCACTTGTCTAACTAGTGTTTTTACCCTTCCTAATGTGTTTTAACAGTGAAATGTGTCACTCGTCAAGAAGCGTTGTGTTATTTCTCTCTTCTGACACCTATCACCGGCAGTCGTTTCAGGCATTCAAAATAACTATCTAGAAATAGTTGAACTTTGTTCTTTGGGTCTTATTCGCCTTTTTAGTTCGTAAAGAGGAAACAACTTGCCTTTCAGTTTGTTCCATAATCAGCTAATCCTCATGGGAGCTTTACATTGAAATAAACAATCTTGTATTTTGTCTAGGCTTTGAAACATACGTCAACACATCAAATAACAAAAAAACTTCTCCAGTTTTTGAACATTTGAACAGCAAAATATTTCATGAACAATCTGAAATCAGCACAATTGCAAGAGCACAAAAGAAAGTTCAATTGGCTTTTTACAGTTTTTACTAACTGAACAGTGCATGCAGACTATCTGCCACCTGAATAAAGATGAATCAAGCGACCTTCATTGTAAAAAGAAGACCATCAGCTCTAGACCAACATGTCATATATCATATTCAGGAATCAGGGCAATAACTTTGCTGCATATACTGTACAGTACATATATATATATGTGTGTGTGTGTGTGTGTGTGTCCCAGTGTTTCCCCTACCATTATATTACAGACCCCCGCCCCCCTTGAAGGTTAAATTAATTTTAAGATTTAATTTTGGGCTTTTTGTGCCTTTATTGTAGAGATAGGATAGAGTTGGAAATCAGAGAAATAAGTCATTTAAGGATACATTTCCGATAGAACAGGACAGCTGTCAAGATTCCTTCAAGTGTTTGTGTCGGCGTCCGTCTGCCCGCACCTCCCCACCCCACCAAAGCTGTAAACCTAGGGCAAACACTGTGTCCTAAATGTTTGTTTTGACATGACACAGATACAGATCACCTCCTCAAAGAATGAATAAGGTCTGCTGAGAAGAATTGTGCCAGTCCTTCCACATATGCAGCTTCTAATTATTCTATTCTCAGTATTTCGATTGACCTCGATGAGGCTGTATTCAGTAATCATATCGAGGTCTGCTCTGTGGTGAAACGAGCTGTCGCTGTCTTCTGGAGGAGACAGTGAAAAAAAAACCCTTGTGATGTCATCTCGGAGTATCTCGGCAACCAATAAACAAAACATAGTCTTTGTTTCAACACCTTCATATATCCAGACCACGTCTTCCTCCTTTGCCTGTTAATATGAAATGTTGCAAATTAGTACAAATAGCTTCGCCCCCTCAACAGTTTCCCTTTATTGACATCAACATATTGAGTCAAGAGATTGTGATAGTTTAATTAAAACTCTTGTTATACTAATGTATTTTTTTTTTTCTCTGTGCAGTAATGACTTCAGTCGAGCTGTCGGGGAGGAATACCTTAAATACTTTGACTTCACCGGGCAAACTCTTGATCATGCTCTGAGGTGAGAATTATCAAGGCGGAGCTTGGTATGCCACAAAACGCTCATTCAACCTCTTGTGATCTTTATTTGAATTTCCTGTCTCTCTCTCTCTCTCTCTCTGTCTCTCTCTCTCTGTCTCTCTCTCTCTGTCTCTGTCTCTCTCTGTCTCTGTCTCTCTCTCTGTCTCTCTTTCTCTCTGTCTCTCAGGTCTTTCCTGAAAGTGGTGATTCTGATAGGAGAGACTCAGGAGAGGGAGCGTGTGCTGCAGCACTTCGCATGCCGCTTCCATGAGAGCAACCCGGACTCCTTCTCCTCCTCAGGTGAGCCCCTTTCGAAATGTTTTTTTTTTTTTTTTTTTGTCATCTCAGAAATACAGCCTCACATGGGGCTCACATGTACTTGATGCATGCTTTTATCTATCCTCAGGTGCTGTGTTGGCTCTCACGTGTGCTCTGATGCTTCTCAACACTGACTTGCACGGACAGGTGACCTACCTTTATGACTGTAAAGGTTTTGTTCTGATATTGCAGACTCTTATCAAAAAATCTTTATGAGCATTTGTTTTTTGTGTGTGTTCACAGAACGTAGGAAAATCCATGTCCTCTTCTAAGTTTGTGTGCAACCTGGATGAGATGAATGAGGGAGAAAACTTCAGCAAGGATCTCTTGAAAGTAACGCTGACACTTATTTGCCCACAGAAAGCAGAGTCAAAGCGTTTTGAGTGATTACTGATCATTGTCCTCTTTTTTTCATAGAGTCTTTACAACTCCATAAAGAGTGAACCGCTCGAGTGGGCTGTGTAAGTGGACTCCTGCTTTGATTCCTTCTTGATTATACATCCTTCTCTTATAAAGTCTGATCCCTAACTCTCTGTGTTTGCATGTTGAAGCGATAAAGAGGAGTTGAAGAGCTCCATATTAATGGATGAAGATGCAGGAGAAGACGCACAGCTGCGCTCAAAGTCAAACCCCTTCCAGGATGTTCCTCACAACAAAACAGCCAATGTGGTCAAACAGGGATTCCTGCAGCGAAAGCTCCACGCCGACATTGATGGCAAACGCAGTGAGTGACACACAGACACAAACACACAGATATAAGGGTATAAACAGGGACAGGCTCGTCTGGATTCAGTCCATGTGACATTTTGTAAAACTAAAAACAACAGATGTCATGAGGGGGTTTAGTATCCTGTATGGAGAACAACCCAGCGACAAAAAATGTTCAATTCATCACCATCACAATATCAACCAAAGGTGCAGAGGCAGGCCTGTCTTCTTCTTCATTCTGCTGTTTTTTGAACCGCCCTGCACCCGTGTGATATCGTATAACTACCTCCTTTTTCTAACACTAACCTAGCAGCATCAAATACTGAGAATGTATCGTCCAAAACCGGTTAAAATAAGACCAGATTGTTGTTGAAAAGGTGAAAAAAAGTTACTATTTCTAACATATTTCAAAGACAGCTGACTTTTTATCACAAAACTCTGAAAACACGTAAACGAAAGTGAGTTGTGGCATTGTTGAAAAATCTCTGCTTTGTCTAAATGTTTTTATTTTATTTTGTAGTTTTTAAATTATTGTAATTTAAATAACATATTAGTTATTGCAAATCTTATCTTATATCTATGCAGATTTTGACCCGTGCACTACATGTGTAAGTGGTGTTTTTTAAACAAAAAATCTCACCCAGTTTTCCTGTTACATCAAAATGTTTCGCTCATGATGAATATTTGCTGTGGAACATATGAAAGGCTGTTTCTACATCCTGATGAATGTCACTTTAAGTCTCACACCTGACCCGCTGCAGAGGTTACAGGCGTTCAAAAACACAAAAAAAGAAATCATCAGGGTTGTCACTGATGTCTCAGCCACACAGAGGCTTTGCTATCAGCTTCAGTCTGTTTCAAAAGCAGCTTTAAGTTCATCACCATTAAATGTTGCATTTTTAATAATTGTACTAAACCTTAACAGACCACTGTATGTTTTATACTTGTTGTTTGGTAACATGGTCAACAGCAATCACTCTAATTTAGCAATCATTGAAAAATAAAAGACCAATCGTGTCTAGTGATTAAAGTTTGGATCCTTCTTGGACTCTTCATGATGCACTTTGTAACCTCGGCCCTGCATCGATTTAAGAATGGAGGAATACTGCTTTTACATCTCGGTTTGGGTTAAATTGAGTTTCATTTCTAAAGTAAACAGCTTCGATATGAGCGCTGACTAAACTTCTAAAACCTGCTGAATGTCTCTTCAGCTCCATGGGGGAAGAGAGGCTGGAAGACTTTCTATGGAGTGTTGAGAGGAATGGTCCTTTATTTACAGAAGGTAAGTAACCAACAGCATGCCCCATTATCAAAAAATACAACTTGTGATTGTACTTTCTATGAAGAATGTTGTGTTTATCAGTGCTGTGATGTCCTGTCTTTGTGTGAGTCAGGATGATTACAGGGGGGGTCAGATGATCAATGAGGAGGTGGTGAGCATGCATCACTCTCTGGCCGAGCAGGCCGCCGACTACACCAAGAAGCCGCATGTCCTCCGCCTGCAGACGGCCGACTGGAGGGTGTTCCTCTTCCAGGCCTCGTGAGTCGCAGCACAACCCGCGTGTTTGAGTTTGTTCATGTTTTTTTTTTTAGTGAACATCGACATTGTTTGTTTTTCTCCTCTCAGATCCAGGGCAGAGATGAATTCATGGATCAGCCGCATCAACCTGGTGTCGGCTCTTCACTCCTCGCCTCCGTTCCCCGCTGCTGTCGGCTCTCAGAGGAGGTTCTGCAGGCCGCTCCTCCCCGCCTCACACTCTGCACACACTCTGGTACATTGCTTCTTCTTTATCTGTGTGACATTAAGACTATAACAATACCAGGAGGAATTTACATTTATGAATGTGTCTACAGTGTTTTTAGATATTTTGGTTTTAAAATGCACAAAGATGAAAATGAGATTATCAGCAAACCTGCTCTATTATTCATCTGATTTTTGTTTTTTCTGAGGCACAAAGCGCTTAATCTAGTTCATGTATTGCTATGTGAGACACAGAATACTTATACTGGATCCAACCTCAATTACAAAGTAACAGTGCAACAAAACCAACTCGTTTTAAAATAACGAGCAGTAACAGTTATATTCTATATCAGATTGCAAGATCGCAATTATAACCATTTGCTTTTTGTTTTTTATATCAGAAACAAACATTAAAACCTTCTCATTTTGTATTTTTTGAACAGGTCATTTTAACTTGTGTCTACAGGTGAAAACACTGAATAAGTGTAAATGTTAAAACTGTCATGTCTTACTTTGCTAAAGCGAGCTATAGACAGATTTGATAAGCTCTGAGAAGCCTTCAAGCTACTGCGTTCTGAACGAAGGTGAATTTAAATGTTTGTGAAGTCCACTGTTGTGTTGTAAAGGAATAATGGAAGTGTTGGTCCTTCTTTGAAAACTTGAATGCACTTGTTTGTATGATCACTTCCCACATAGTCTATGAAAATTCATTAAAAATGCAGTTGAATTGCGTCTTTGAAATACAGCAAAGAAAATAATCAAATGGGGAAACATTTCATATCCTTCACCTTCACACCACATCCTTCACACTTCACCATTCAGAAGGATTTGCATTAAAAGGATTAGCATGAAATCTGTTCCTCTTCATTTCATGGCAGGAGAGTCAGATGCAGTCGCATGCAAAAATGCTCGAGTCCTTCAAGACGGACCTGACGTGCCAGCAGCAAAACCTTCCAGAGGGAAAGAAAGCCAAAGCCAAGGAGCTGGAGGAGCATCGAGTCAGAGCGGAGTACCTGCATCACGAGGTGAGAAACGTTCTGCGGGTCGATGTCTGTGTGAAAAAAAGGACCCACAAGTGACTCCCTGTGTCTTGTTTGAATGTGTCGCAGATGTGCCGCTATGAGATCTACATCCATGTGCTGGAGGCCTGGAAGAAAGCAAAGACGACAGACGACAGCGTGATGACCACAGCAGACCTGAACACATTTGATAAAGCTGTGTGTGTGGACCCTGTCGGTGAGGGCGATGAGGAGAGTGGCACCCTGAAAAAGTCCTACTCCAGCCCCTCCCTGGAGATAGAGTCGCCTCCTCCGACCATGATCAAAGTCAGGCGCAACATTTCAGAGAGACGGACTTATCGCAGGACCATAATTCCCAGATGGAATAAAGAATCTTGAAAGACTCAAGAGGTAACGCGACCCAATAAAGACCCTTTGAAAAAGCAGATTTATAAATCTTCTCTGAGTTCACAGAATTTCAGGGTTCAGTTTCATGAAGAGATCTTAAATCTTGTCATGATGTCATTTTGTTTCACAAGTTTCTGCAAATTTTGTCTTTTGCACTTTTATGAAAACAAACCTCAGGGAATCCCGAGCTGTCTGTCAGGATAGAGGGACTGATCCATCTGTTGAATGACTCAAATCTGGACCTAATTTATTTCTTTTATTGTGTTGACTTTTGGTCTCTTTAGGGATAAAAAGGTACGAATCGAAATTCATTTCTTGTTTCACATTGAACAAAATTAAAATGCAAACCACTAGAGGGCGCTGTAGCACAGCTCATCTCAGTGACTAGAGGGGCTTCAGGATGTGCTGTCAGTTTTAAACTGTTTTGAAGAATCTTAATTGCACTATTATTGTTTAAAATGTGTATAAAACCTCGACCTTTGTTCTGTTAGTGTACATGATGTTATTGTCGCTTATTGTTCTCAAATAAGTTTATTTCCAACATATTCATGTTTTTGTTCTCTCTGTGGAAAAAAAATAAAATGTTGTAATGCTTTAATCGAACAGCATGAGCAAATAACTGTTTGAAGTCTCAATGTGAGGGGCTCTAATTTAGTTTTTTTATTTCAAGAAAGTAGTTTAAACATTTCACCCATGTTTCCATGGTTACCTGTATGTCAGATACAAACAGGACAAAGAAGCCGAATGTTTCAACAAAGTAAGAGAAGCATTACAGAAATGTCTTTGGCTGTTTTTTGATTGCAATTTTACAAACACATAAAACTAAAATTGACTTTATTATTAAAATCCCAAGACAGAAACATGTTTATTGTTATTATCATGTGAGACGAGAAAGAAATGTCTTGTTTAAAAAAAAAAAAAAAATGTTTTGATCAAATTACGCAGTTTCAAATCTAAAAAAGGAAAAAGTCAGAAGGCCACAGTGAATGTTGTTGATTGAACAAACTGAAAGATTAACTCTCATTTAAATCAATGTCATTTATTTATTCAAACACTCCGGATTTCTAGACAAGTTGAATCATTTACTGTATCAAGAATGTTTACATTTTTCAACGCTGCGATCTTCATTCAAATGATCTCCTACGTATCACCTCAAGAGGAAAAAAAAAAGTCACGGTGCAGACCTGGGAGTTTGTTTTTTTGTGTGAGTGTGTGGGCGTCGTCACAATGTTTGTGTTTGTGTGTGTGTGTGTGTGTGTGTGTGTGTGTGTGTGTGTGTGTGTGTGTGTGTGTGTGTGATCGGATCGGCCTCAGTGGCACGGGCTCCATTTTGTTCTCTTTCAGCCTGACATGTTGAGCTGCGGTCAACCCGGGGCAGTCAACAATAAGGGCAGGATGTCTGGAGTCAGCCCTCCCTCCCCACAAACACACACACACACACACACACACACACACACACACACACACACACACACACACACACACACACACACACACACACACACACACACACATAGGAATTTGATGTGACTATAGGATATGCAATGAAGAGCACAGACAGTACAGACAGGGGCACACCATGCTGTATGGGTGAATCATTACAGCTGAAGCTCCTTGTTCTCCATTTGATTTGAGACTCTCCCACCTGGACGGACATCGGGTAAAACCCGGGAGTCCCTGACTCATCTTCTGAAGCGCTGACTTAATGTGATAATGCTCAACTTGTTGTCCTCTGAATGGAAGCAGTCTCCATTCATTGACAGAAATAACAACAGCTCATTAAGATAAAGTCAGATTTTGCAGATGAGGATGACTGATGGGCGACATGAGTGACAGGGACCTGAGGCCATCATAGCACCTTGGAGGGAATTGGGGGTGGGGGTGGGGGTGGGGTGGGCTGCAGTCTGAAAGGCGACGCCATCTCTGCTAACCTACATGCTCTCAGGCCTGTGACCAAATGTTACAGTTAGAAGCAGCCATTAGTATCTTTTGTTTTTCATATCAAATTGAATCATTTCATCGGTGCTTAAGGTGCTCGTTCGGCCGCAGGCGTCACAGAGGAGCTCTCCACCGAAGAGCTCTTCTCACATGGCCTGTGGACCATGACACCAGCGGCCGTGGTGGCCTTGTTTTGGAGTGCCACCTCTCTCCGCCTCTCCAGCAACAATAATGATCGGCTGGAGCAGCAGGGGCTGCATTAGCTGCTGGGTTCAGAGGGCATCCGTCCCAAGGAGTGGGCCTGTGTTTTGTTTCCATCTGTGCCACTCCGTGCTCGAGCTTTGTGCGCCTCTGTCAGGCCTGGGTGGGTAATTAAAAAGGCAAGAGCTCAAGTTGTGATCATTAGGGGCTTGTCCGGCACCGGGCTCCGAAAAGGACCCCGACGTGTAAGGTCACCGCTGCCCTGTTTTTCTTTTTCCTGCTCGTCTCCCGTCCTCACGAACAGAGCTGCTCTGACTATTGCTCAACATCCACAATGGCCCTGAAACGCTCTGTAAATATGAGCCCTCAAACACCTGCCATCACCGCCAGCAAACATAAACTGTACTGTAAACACTCGCATTCATCCCGCTGCCCTCAATGCTCCTCCTGACGCACATTCTCCATCTGCCGCTGACGCCTCGCACGCTCTACTTGTTACTTTTTATCTCTTACCCGCACTAACACTCGATTTCTCCCACTCTGACCATTAGAAAAACTATTTTTTTCTAATCTCCCTCTTGGTCCCCCCCCCCTCTCTCCCTCTTGACTGCTTCTAGTGTGATCTTTTTTCTTTCTCTGTCCAGGGCCCTTGAAGTTCCTCTTAGGTTCTTTTTATGGGTTTTGTTTTCCACTCAGACTCCATTCACTTCATCCATTAACTAACAACTCCTCTTCTATTCTCCAGCTTTTATTTAGTGTCCACTTGCTCTTGCTCTCCTGTAAAGAGCCAGACTCTGAGTTTATGTTGGGTTTCCATTTGAGTGTAATTTTCTGCTGTAACTTGTTTTTTTTGAAGTATTGGCAGACACTGAACAAAAACATCATCCTTGCCCCTTTCCCCTCTCACACTGCACTCATTAGCGTTGCTTTTCTCCTGGACAGACATTTTCATTTTATTTGCCAATCAGACCCAAACATGACTCGCCCCGACCCTTCATACTCCTTTTCATAAACGCTGGCTTTGAGGCCTCTTACTGAGGGAGTTAAAGCAAGTGCCTAGCTTAAGGGCATTTCAACGCATGACCCCTTTTTGCCCTCTCCTCTTCCACACACACTCCAAGCCTCTGAAAACACTCCTCAGGCACAAACTCAGCGGCTTTTAAGATGCAGGACAAACATACTGGCCCGGGATCTTAAAGTCTGCCCTCCGTGGGTCAATGCAACGTATAGAGCGGAGCGGGGAAATGTCTGTGAACTTATCGCCCCCCATCTTATCTTGTTCTATCGTGCAACTCGTGCAGGAATTAGCTTTAACTGGAGGGAGCCTTCAGACCTCCAACCAGGCCCGTAGACTGGTGTTGTGCAAAATACACACACAGATCCACTTTCATACACTGGTTCAAGAGATGGATCGACTTTTTATTGCCTGTTTCAGAGACAAGTTCACTTTCAGCGTATAATGAGAGAAGTCCTGCTTGTTTGAGAGACAGATCTGCTATAATTTATGATTGACAGATGGATCCTCTATTATTGGTTATTCTAGAGACATATCCGCTATAATTGCTTTTGCAAGAGAAAAATCTCCTATTATAATTTATTGAGAGAAGGATCCACTTTTATTGCTTGTTCAAAAGAATACGTTTGCTGTTGCTGCTTAATGGAGAGATGAATCAACTATTATCAGTTGAGATAAATCCACTATGGTGCTTTTTTGGAGAGATGTATCCGTCATGATGACCCAGATCCACTCTTACTGCTTGTCCAAGAGACGGATCCACTACTATCAGTAGTTTAACAAACAGAGACAAATCCCATTTCATCCTTATTCGAGAGAAATCTGTGCAACGATGTTCGAGAGACAGATCCACTGTCATGCTCGTCCAAGAGACAGATCTGCCGTTATTGATTTCTCAGGCGAGAGATCCGCTATAACTGCTAACTCGAGGGCTGGATACATTGCTTGTGGAAAGGATTGATTCCTGTTTGTTGAGAGAAAGATTTGCAATTATTGGTTGCTCTGTCGACAGATCTACTGGCAATGCTTGCTTGAGGGACACATCCCACATTGCAGCTCGTTTGAGAGACTAATAAGGTAAAAAAAAAAAATGTTAAACAGACAGATCCAACTATTTTTCTTGTTCAAAAGACAGATCTGATTGCATTGCTTGTTCTAGCAATGGTTCCACTATTGTTGCTTGTCCAAGGGATTGATTCATTAGTGTTTCTTGACTGAAACATGAATCACCTATTTTTGCTTGTTCCAGAGACAAATCTGTGAATATTGCTTGTTCAAACAACAGATCTCCCACAAGTGCTCGTCCAAGAGGCTGATTCACAACTCCAGCTCGATCATGCAACTTTACGTAGCTGGTCAGTTCTGGTTTCATATCTTGATCTGGTCAGAAGTTTATTGGCCATTTCCACGAGCTGTGTTTCACCCTTCCAAGAGTCGTAAAAATAGCGATATAACTTAAGCCAGCAAAAATAAATTCCTTGTTTGAGGCACCTGTCCATATTTCAATCTACAGTGTGTTTCAATGATTTCACAGCATTATTGAGACGTGCATTTGATGTTGAATGAGCTGTTTGTCAGCCTCTGTGTTTGACTTCCCCGGGCCTCCACAGGTCAGCCCTCTCCCTCGGGGCAGTACCTGATACCTGGCAGATTTTATCTTCCTCGGTGTGTGTTTGTGTGTATAGTGTTGAATGTGTATGTGCTTTGAAAGGTGCGTTTTTCTTGATGTCTTCCAGTCAATAGTAGCTTCCTGCCTTCAGGGCCTGTATGTTGTTTAATAGGCTGCTTGGACACAGGGCACCTGTGTTTCCTCCCTCTGCCTGTCCTCACACAGAAACACCCTCTGTTTGACCACTTTGCTCCGTTTGACTGGCACATTTGTTCTAGGTGCATTCTGTTTAAAGGTGGAGGAGATGAGATGGCTTCTTGGAATTTGAGGATGGTGTTGTCATTTGATGTCTGCTCAGGTGTTCTGAGGCTTTTTTTTTTCTTCAGGGTGAAATGTCTCTTATAGCAACATATGGATGGTGATGTTGGTTGGGTGGTCCGCCACTTTGTTCCTGACTGAAGTATCTCAAAAACTATGTGATGGATTACCTTGGACGTTTTACAGTCAGTTTTTTTTACCCTTTGAACTTTATCTAGTGCCACAAACGGCTCAAATATTTCACTCACTTAGTGATTCATGTCTACATTTAATCAAAGGCTTGGCAAAAAGTTCTGTCTGGACATTCATGGTTCTTAGAGGATGAATCCTTATGACTTTGGCGATCATCTTATTTTCTCCTAGCACCAAAATAAGCTCGAAAACTTGGGGATTTCTTTTTTTTTTCAGGAATGTTTCAAACCACATCTATTGGCTTTTCAGGATTTCCAACAAGTTAGGTCAGGAGATGTAGTTGACCTTGTGATTTGATTTTTTTGGGGGATTCAGATAGCCACAAAACTTTGTACAAACATTCATGTATTTGGGACGAATTGCCCCTTTAACCACCGGAAAACATAATACATAATAGTCTTCTTGCAATGTAATTCAGGGTAATCTGAAACTGAAACATCAGAAGGTATTTTAAACCCACGTGAACAAAACTTTTCTGGACATTTTAGTGGTGAGCTGCATGTCTCTGAGCAAACAGTAGATTTTTTTCACACCAACTTTAATACAATTTCACAGTGAAGTTGGGGTGAGCTGATGTGTGCTGCAGCAGGTGACATTCAGTAGAATTCACCGCAAGCAAGCATGGGGCCGTGATTTCTATATCCTGCAACTGGGGAGCGTCCAGATCTAAAATGTAATTGCAGGAAAAAGAGATCTTAGCCACTTTCTCAAGTCTTCACACCTGACCTATCGCTGCGTTGAACGGACATCGTTGTTGATAGTTATACAAATTGTTCTGTACAGTTTCGATAATTCAGAAGGGTTCTCTAAGTCTTGTGTCGAGAAATGTAGTCGAGGAGGTTAAAGGAGGTTCTGTTGAAACAGCAGACAGTAACCTCAGACAGAGAAAGGGCTGCGAGAAGAAAAAAAAGGGCTCGATGTAAAGAGAGGACAAAAGACTCTGAATAATCGGCCCGGCTTCACCCAAAACATTTAATAAACAAGGTGATGGGTTCACTCTCACATTCTGGGTTCTCTTGAGGGCCACAAAGGGCCTGAACCCGGGCGGGGCCCACACAGCAGCGCTGCCATTCACAGTTTAAAACAACAGCGTGTCCTGCAGCTCATTTGGACAGACAAATTCTGTCAGCCTACATAATACTTATTTGCCAGGCTGAATTGGTTGGCCAGTGTCTCGGGCCCAGAGATAAGTGGAGAACTTTCCAGATGACTGGCGCAGGACAACCCTGACCCGTCATCCCACTGATTGCCACACACTCCTCTGCTGCCTTTTTGGCAGCAATTTCTCCAGGGGCCCCCAGTTCTGTCTTTGAGTTTGTCCCCATAATGGTAATGGGACACATGCCTTCTCCTCCACACACACACACACACACACACACACACACACACACAGGGGTTATATCACAAAAACACACAAAGCTACACGTTTCCTGCTCTGTCTGTGCCACACACATACATGGACACTGTGTTCGTATGTCTGTGTGTTAAATGTAGTAAGTCCCAGTCGCCCCGTCCTGCCAGCTTTGTCTGCCCTCAGCTGTTCCGGCCCGGTGCCTGTATTGTGCTGCTGGGCTCATTACCAGACCAGAAGCACTGTGGCCCGAAACCTCCTCGCTAATAGGCCCAGAGAGACACACAGAGGAGTTATGTCTGCTGTGGCTCGAGTGTGTAGCAGTATAACGTTTAGGTTTTTTTTGCTCTTTCGACAGCAGGACGGTTAATGTTTAACATTTGTGGCTGTTATTTCTCCGCTCGGACATCAGCTGGTTCGAGGAATTTTGAAGTTCAGTTCCTTGTCCCTGAGAGGCACATTGACTTAAAAAAAAAACTCTGTATGTTTTTAGAGTATATAGAGGAGTGTGTTTCTGCATGCCTGAGCAGGGACCTGGAAAGAATGAGAGTCCAGTCAGTTGATGGGTTGTCTGGAGTGGCCCAGGACACTTGAAAAACAATGGGATGAAATGCAGCTATTGTTTAAAGTTTACAGTGTGGCCACAAGAGAGGGTTACAAAGGGAGGGGTGTAAAGAGGTGAGTCAGAGAAACTGGGAAATATAAGGAGAGTGAGGGCTCAGAGACGGAGAGAATAAGCAGGACATACTGTACACAAAAAGATGTCAGGGCTGATCTTCATCACAGGACAGATACTGCCCCGACTGAACTGATACCGAGGAGTTTAAGTAATTGTCTCAGAAGTCAGACAAAAGCCCTCCATACTGTCGAGCGCAGGAGTTATGTAATTAGTTCTGAGAGCTTCTTTAATGACGAATTAGGCCATGAACCTCACAGAAGTTTGTGAACTGAAATTATTTCAGAGGTTGTGGTGGTCTAATGAGACAAAATGAAAGAAGATAAAACCTGCAAACTGAAACATATGTAAGTTCAACATTTGTTTTCTCCAATGCTGGAAATGCGGAAGTTGTTTCATAAAGAAACGTTGCGACTGTCATAAAATAACACCTAAATTTAATCCATTAAAAAATGAAAAAAAAACGTTCTTTGAGGCAGGTTCAAAAAGAGACCAAAATAGCTTGGGGAAATAATAAATCAATTAATAACTATTAAAATGTTGATAATATCAATATAAATAATAAATGAACAGGTTTTATAGGCCTATGTTTTAAAATTTAATTTAATATTTATTTAATTCATGTTCATAAGTTTGTAACAGGTTATTTGCAGATGAGGACCACACATGATTTAAAAAAGTAATTTTTTTGTGAGATCATCAGTCCATATTCAAATTATAAATATACAGCCATATGGTTGAGCTGTTTTTTTTTCTTATGAAATCAGACAATGTCATTTATTTGTTTTTGTTTTTTTTAATTAAGAATATAAGAAGTCTAAACTCCTTTCTTATAATACACCGTTTTGTTTACTTATGTGACAGCGATAGTTTTAAATTCGCGGGTTCGAGCCTGGGCATATTCCCCCAGCTTCACGTGCCGCAGTATTTTGGAGCACGCGCGCGCGGCCTCCCCAATCCATCATAGTCCTCGCGCCGTCCCACGCGGCGGCGGCACCAGGTGGGCCGCGGCACCGCCGAACCGTGGCGTCGTTAACGCGCCGCAATTATGAGGCCGCAAAGAGGGACGAAATAATTGCAAATAAAACTACATGATGCAGAAAATAAAAAAAGAAATTAAACAGATGCGCGTGCTTTCAGGATCATTGCTTTCGTCCTTTTGAAATGCTGAGAGATGCAAAAAAAAGATCACATTTCAGCTGTCTTTCACCATACCGCATAAGTAGGAAATAATAGGATAATAATAATAATAATAATAATAATGATAATAATAATAATAATAATAATAAATTAAGCTTATATGACCAGTCTTGTGATTATTCGTTTATAAAGAACCTTTAAAATCTCTACTTTGTTAAACACTCATTTACATTTCCACTTTAACTGTGAGCTCTGCACAGAGCTAATGATTATTTGCATCATTTCTTATTTGAATAACAAACATTTTAAAGAAACAACAAGAGAAAATTCAACAGTAAATTTGTCATGCTTTAATTAAAATAATTCTTTAGAAATTCATTATTTACATCTGCAATAATATTAATACCAGTATCAGAAAAAATAGTCACAGTTCTTACCAAACATCAGAACATCAGCATGACAACAAACTAAAGTTATTTGACGCAAAACAAACGTATTTCAAGCCTTGTTGGTTTTAGTAGCCAAATCACCGTCATCAGTCATTCTCTGAGAAAAATTGCATCTCTTCCTCATAGGTCATTCATCATTTACAATATGTACATATTGCTGGACAAACACTTTAATTATATTTGAGGGGGGCAGATGTGGGCATTTTGTTGTAGTTGTGATTTAATGTGACACCTTTTAGTCCATTTTCACTACGGGGAGGAAGTGAAAATCAGAAAAAGTTTACAGACAAGTCTCAAAAAGGAATTGGAAAGCAGACACAAATTAAAAAAGAGGAATTCATTCTGTAATGATAGGACAAATAAAGTATTGTAAACAAAGAGCAGGCATAGTCTAGTATAAAGAAGTTGCATATCTGTATCACTGGATTTTGTGGTGTCATTTTTGCAGATGTGCGAGAAAAAGAAAGTCTTTGGCAAAAAACAGTGTTAGAGCTCTGTAGACTGAAAATATGCACCTTGGCATGGCCCATAGGAGGAGTTAACAGTCTGTAAACGTGCATGAGTCGGCGTTACCATGGCAACAGAACCACTAACAACAAATAAATAACACAGGAGGAGGTGAAAATGTTTTGCTGGTTCATCAGCAGAGTGTAAAGTTCACGTTGAGTTTCGACTTTCATGCCTTGGTCCTCAATCAGAAGTGTCAGCTGATGTTCAGATTTCCAGTTTTCTAGTCGCCAGGTCCGCTCGGGTCCATCAGCGCTAGAGTCGGCCCCTCCCAGCAGGGACTAGAGGTGGTCGTAGGCGGCTGCAGACGGAGGAGCGGTGCGGGAGGCCGAGCTGTAGTAATATGGAGAACCTGCAGGGGGGGAGGGGGAGACACATTGAGAGGTCGTCAGAGGTGGAAAGTGTTGTCTGCGGTGGATCAGACTTTTCTTTATCCTTATTATCCCCAGGTTTTACAGCAGATGGTGGAGAGTCTGAGCTGCTCTGACTGTTTGTCCTGCAAGTGGATTCAGTCTGAACTCTCCTGTCTCGTAAGGAATCAAAAGATCAGAGAAATGCAGGACTTTCCTTTTCTAACCAGACTGATTGATCCTGCAGAGGGGAAGGTATCCTCAAAAACTGCTGTACTTATAAATCTTCTTGGTAAAAGATTTTCTTCTGAACACAACATCTCTTTAAAAGAGTTGCGTAGAATTTTTGTTTGGATGCATCTTGCAAAATATACATATCTGCTGTTGGCGCCTAATGTCAGGGGAACCATGGAAATAATGTTTGTAACACTTTCTTTCTTAGGCCTGTCTTTTCTTTCGTCTGTTTGTAACATGCTTTGGACAAAAGTGTCTCCCAAATGATTTAGTGTACATGCTCGATAGATGGACTTAGACGAGAACGGGCGCCTTCATATGTACATGGTCTACAAAAGTTAGCATTTATCTGCTGGTCATTTCGGTAATTGTTACTCTATAGTTTATATCAGGTTTTTTTTAGGGTTGGAAGATTCTTAAAATTGTGTTTTGTCTGTAACTAATTATATATAAAAAAAAAAAGATCCACAGAGCAGTTAGTTTATAATTTCTTTCCATGAATGTAGAGAGACAGAAAAGCCAAGGCGCCAAGTGATAAACAGATTAAAGAAAAAGGATCCAGCGTGTTGAATATTTTAGAGTGTGTAAAGCCGTTTTCACAAATGCACTCGAGAAGATTTCAGGAAGACTACCCCTATATTCATCCTGTTGTGGTTGTTCACACACGCACCTTAGAGCGTGGAGACTATCCCTGTAGGACTGGAGGGGGTGGGGGGGGGGGGGGGGGGTGGGTGGTCTACCCGAGGCACGACATGAAGTAAATGAATGACGTGAAAGTGGCGGTTAAAGCAACAGAGTCTGCTTTACGACGCTTCTGTGAGAACATTTGCCTTTGTACCAATGCTATGGTTGGTTTGACTTAATCGCAGTATCAACAAAAGAGCGGGGGCCGGGGGGCGGGGCGGGGGGGGGGGGGGAACATACTGACCAACAGAAAAAATAACGCAGCAGTTTAATTACGTGCACAGAGATCGTATACTGGTCTCGTGCATTCAATCTGCGGTCGTGCATGGATCGCAGGGAATAAATGGAACGACCCCCTCCCACTCGGTCGAGGTGAATTCTCCTGAGTATATCCTGCTGCGTTCTCACATTGACTCACTATAGTACAAGCTTAAGCACTATGTGTGTTTTTGAAGTCCAGGTTGTGTATTTGTATGCTCGGGAGCTGCCAGTAGCTCGCGGGCAGGTTTTCAGTAGCTCTCCTTTAGGTTGACTGACTGTGTTAAAAAAAAAAACTAAAAAATCCGACGACAGTAAATGCACCTCTTCCCCACTATTCATGTATTTGGCCCATAAAAACAAGTGTAAAGTAGTAAATGTTTTCATGGACATTGATGTGAATTTTCAGCAACATAGCTTACTATGTGGCAAAATAAGAAGTGTAAAATATTTATTTCTTGGACCTTGATGTGACTTTAAGATTATTGACAAGCATTGGCTTATTGCAATTGCTTAATTCAGCTGATTGTGTGCAATGTAAATAAATGCAAGCGATTTGATGCAAGTAGCTCTTGGCCACTTTCAATTTTTTCAAAGTCGCTCTCAGATGAACAAAGGTTGGAGACGCCCTGCGTTAGAGGGACACAACATGTTTACGATCTCCTGGGAGAGGGGACGTATCAAACAACGAACACGTCGCACATGCAGCGCAGTACACAGAGTGGGTCTCCACTCACCCAGTATGGAGGAGTTGGTGAACCTCCAGGCGTCGCTGTAGGTGGTGTACGGTGTGTGGCTGTAGGTCTGACCCGAGTAATCTGCACCTGCTGCAGGAGAGAGAGAGAGAGAAAAACCTCATCAAACACTGACAACAACAACACAGGAAACATTTCTTATTAAAACGCAAAGCTAAGACACCGCCGTGAGCACTTTGTGTGTGTGTGTGTGTGTGTGTGTGTGTGTGTGTGTGTGTGTGTACGTCTATGTTTATGTGTGTGCGCTCAGCTTTAGCTCATAATTCACCAACAGTTAGTGCAGCCTGTAAACCATTAATCTGTGGTGCAGGTGGATGTCTCAGGGTAAAATCCCTCGGCCCAGTGGTGCGTGCATGAAGCCAGCCTCTACGCCCTCTCTCTCCTCAGAGCTCTGCCCTCTGAAATGCCCTCCTCCCCCTCCTCCTCCTCCTCCTCCTCCTCTTCTTTCTCCTCCTCCTCTTCTTTCTGCTCCTCCCTCCCTCTGTCCTCCTCTCACAGCTTTAGCTTCACTGGTACTCCACTTTTTTTTTCCTTCTTCTCTTTTTTTAACATTCCAATATCTAATTGGTAATTATGTCGACTGGAATGAATCCCCGAGCCCCCCCCCACCCCACCCCACCCCACCCACCCACACCGCCACCTACTCACCCTCCTCCTCCTGTCCTAACCCCCCTCTTCAGTCAGTAATTGTGTAGCAACTCTTCCTCACAGCGAGCCCACCAGAAAAATAATAAATCAGACCCTCTCATTTCGCGCTTCGGAGGGCAGACTTCAAATAAAAAAGGCACATCACACACACACACACACACACACACACACACACACACTCTCTCTCTCTCTCTCTCTCTGGTCGTATGCAGGCATCCTGATATCAGCGAACACACACACACACACACACAAATGCACGCACCAAAGACCTCCTCCTCATACCCAGACTTTACACCCTCCCTCCTCTCCTCTGCCCACCCTGCATCTCCCTCCTGGGCCCCCTGGTTCCCATGGCGATGTGTGGTCAGAGGTGTCTGGGTGGGGGGTGTGAGCAGCAGGGCGGAACCCTCAGCCTGCTCCCTGTACCCCCTGGGCCCATGTGCACCCGCACAGACACACACACACACACACACACACACCACCTGGCAAGACTACTCATTGACTCAGCCTGTGTTTCTGTTAATCTACAAACCTCCAGCCCTGCCGCGTTCTCTCAACTCCATCTCTTCCTTCATCTTCTCTTCATTCTTTTTTCGTTCTACCTGTCTCACTCAGCTGCCTTCCTCCATCTTTTTATTTATTTATTTACAACCTTTATTCTCTACATGGCTTTTAAATTGTACATAAAAAAACACAAGCTAACAAGTCTTTCTCACCTGCTACCATGCCCGTGATGGCTGAGGTGGTGTATCCTGACTGCGCGGGGGAGGGGATGTGAGGTGGGTAACCTGGCAGGGTGGAGCTCACCATGTCACGCCCTGAAAACACAAACACCAACATTTAACATCAAAAGGGAAGTTGGAGTCACTGATTTACATCCCTTAAAGCTAAAGTGTGCTCGGAAATATAAGTTGAGTTTCTGCATGCGGAAAAAAACAAAACAGAAATGGTTCAAAGATAAATCAATTAGTTTACTTACAAATAATAATAATAATAGTTTCAATCGATTATAATCACTATATGTTTTCTTTAAAGGTAGAAATATAAGTATTTAATTGGTTCAAGAAACTCTGATTTCTCTCTTGCTGCAGAAAGTACGCCTATCAGGGAGTACATGTATGGTTAATTGTTGGAACTCTTTAATTTGAATTAAAAAGTTACCATATAAGGTATTAATAATGAAAGGATTTCAGTATTTTCTTGTTTTCTTCGTCTTATTTGGTAGTAGTATTGACTATTTATTTAGTGCAGGGAGAATTTTTTTGTTTGGCTAAATAATAAGCCAATCGCTGAATTGAAAAACGGATCAAATAAAAAGCAGATTCATCAATAATGAGATGGAAAAAAATGGTTGCAGTTTTACATTAATTGCCCCCAAAGAAGCGCCTGGCTGCGTGAAAGAGAGTGTGAACATGAAGATGACGTGAATCCCTGCGTTACCTGAGAGAATAGACTGACTGCTGAACTGCCCGTACACAGGTGCATGATGGGAGAATGAGTTGAAAGCATAGGGGGAATGGTTGGAGTTGCCGCAGCTGCTGCTGCTGACAGAAACGGGCTTCTGCAGCGCCTGCAGCTCAACGAACGCCAGGTTGGACGCCACCATGTTTGGGGAGGGGCTTGTGCTCGTCACTTCCGGGGACATTTCCTGTTTAAGGCAGAGTGGCAGCGACTGGAGGGGCTCTGAGGTGGAGGCAGCGATATCAGAGGAAGGCGGTTGGATGAAAAAATGAGAATGGTGAGTGGAAGTGAAGTGCAAAAAAAAAAAAGAAGTGAAAAATGCAAAAATAAAAAGTGAAAGGGTTTCACATGCAGGTCAACGTTTCTCACCTGTCACCATCGCGTAGCTCTGGTGTGCTGTTAGATTCCGTCCAATGGCGGACGAGGATGTTGAGAGGCTCGTCTTGGCCTCATCAAGGCTGCCGTTGATGAGGGAGAGCGGGTACAAAGTCTGCAGATGATGAGCAGGGATTAGCTATTACTTTAGTAGAGTGCTTGTGTAGGAGAAGGAGCAAAAGTCAAAAAACAAACGCAGAATTGAATGGCCCCAAACGTTTTGAAATCCTAATGAAGAGTAAACAAGAAACATGAAGAGTAAATACTTCATAGAAATGTTCCATTTGAGCCGCTTATAAGCTACCTGCTCTGCTTTGCTTCCGGACGCGGAGCCGAATGAGTCCGGGGGATAGTGGTGACGGTCGAACCCACAGTCCAGATGTTGCGTGGCTGCTGAGAAGTGATCCACCCTCATCTGTTTCCTCGGGACTCCCCCGCTGCCCTGAGAGTCTACGCTGTGCCGACAACTCTCCTGATCACCTGGGGAAACCAAACAAAATACCATCTCCATTATTCTAATGATTGATAGAATCTAAAAGTACCGAAGAAAACCAACAGATCTTCAGTCATCTATCAACCAAAAGGTACCACGTTTTATTTTATTGGAACAGAAAACCTAAACTAAGTCTAAAAAATCATTTTTTCAATTAGACATCATGATATATTAGAGGGAGTGACTTTTAGGCTGCATGCATGGCTTAACATTAACATGAACAAAGTTGCAGGATCTAAGGTTTTTGTATCTTGAAATGACCTCAGTTCTTTGATCTCAAACAGGACGGTGAATAAGATAAAGCATGACCCTCCTCCACCTCTCACTCTCTCCCATGTCTGATTGACTTCCTGTGTTCCACAATGTTCCACAACAAGAATCACAATGAGGCCGATGCGTGCCGCGACGTTCATCTGATCTAATTCTTACTGTCATCGTGGCTCCTCTTGCCCTCGACGCTGGGTTGGGGGATCCCTAACAAGCCACTGATGGAGTAGGTGGAGCCCAAAGAGTCTGAGTGTGGAGATTCAGGAGGAGTGACGGCTGAACTGGGGACTGGAGAGAGAGAGAGAGAGAGAGAGAGAGAGAGAGAGAGAGAGAGGGGAAGAAAAACAAAGACAGATTTTAGATTTTAGACACAGGGAAGAAATGATACCGGGCGTCTACATCTCACTGTAGTCCTGTTACCTCAACACCATGCACTTAATCCTACAGAACGACGAGCATGTTCTTTAATCTTTAACCTTAATCCTTCACCATCACATGATCATACATGTTGTTATGGCCTCCAGTGTGTGTGTGTGTGTGTGTGTGAATGGTAAAGACTCACTTAAGGTTTGTCCAGGACTCAGGCCTTTTCCGTCCAGAGGCAGATTGAATGGTTGCTGGACCTTTGTTCGAATTATTCTGAAAAAAAATAACAATCATTTACAATTAGCACAACTCTTTAATTAGCTTCATATTTAGCATCCGCTTAGTGTAGTGATAGCATGACCACATGTTAAATCTGTCCCTTTTTCAGTCTTCTCAGAAGCTCAGTTTTCTGCACGCCGCCTCCCCAGAGAGGCACATTTGTACCTCTAACAGGTTTTCATTCATAATTCAGTTTGTCACCTGTTAATGGAGCTCACGCTGGGCACCGTGTCGCTGTCACACACTCCCTCCGCCAGCAGCCGGTCTCTGATCTCCCAGGCGAACATGGTGGGATTCTGCCTTTTGTACTCTGCGATTTTATCCACCACCTTCGGTGTGGCCACTTTGGGTTTAGAGCCGCCAATCACGCCGGTTTGATGCTGCCTGTCTCGTAGTAACTGAAAGGAGAAATCAGAAGGCTTTTACTTTGAAGGTAAGGTTTGAGGTCATGGGTACAGATATGTAAACAACATTTCAGGGGTCAAAGAACACAAACATGTTGATCTGCAGTGGCAGGAAGTTGAAGGGTAGGTTTCTCACCGTCCCAGAATCTTGCTGACGCAGCCGTGGCTGACTCGGAGCTGCCGGGAGATGTCACAGGGCCGGACCCCCTGGTGGGCCATGTCCACGATGCGTTGCCGGATCACCTCCGGAAGCGGGCGTCCATTAACAAACATTCCGCCTAGTTGGTTAAGACCCCCATGACCTGGGGGAGGAGGGGGGATGAACACTCATAAATGTCATGAACCAGAGACAGTGAGGCCTGCCAACGTCAGAAAAGTCAAACACACCTCTGGACTAACAGACAGAACCACACACACTTTTTGGTGACACAATGAAAACATAAATTACTAAGCAGTAAAAAACAAAACAAGAGGTCAAATTGTGACCCCTAAAAGCGGGCATCTATTTTCAGTATCTGAAAATAAACTGACAAAGGTTCACAAGGCATGCTACACTGATGCTCTTACACCGCTCACACTGTGCGGTGTAGCTGTAAGAAAACACAAAAACAAAACAAATCCTGTTTCAGTGTTGCACGTTGTAGACTCAGGGATCAACGAGATAAAAGTTACAAAAGTAATGAAAACTTTAATCTCTTAGTTGATTGATATCTTTAAATCTGCAGAAGAACAGATTTCTATTAGTCAAGGTGGATCTAGTTTGTATTTTGACAAATCTGTTTTCCCTCTCCCTGACATTTCAAAAGAAGGGTCTAAAATGTTCAGCTCTTAAATATCTAACACATTTTCAATATTGCTACATTCTGCAACAATGTGAGGTTTAACTGTACAGCCAAGGTTGTATTTTAAATTGATAAATACGTTATCATTTACAGGATGTACACCTCCTTTTAAATAACACTTTCAGACTCTTTCTTATTGTTTGCTTTATACACTACTTATTTATTTATCTATTTATTTTCTGTGTTGTAACATAAGTCTCAGTGTGCTCCAATAAAAGTCAATACTCTTGTCTAGAGCTGGGAAATGAAAGGGAAACCTAATTTGATATGATTTTAACAATATATTAGTCAAGAACACAAAATAATTCCTTAAAAATAACCTCTCAACAAATATTATGTTATCCTCATCTTTTATAAATAAAATACAGAAATCATGTGGATTGTAACTAGAAACAATAAACTTTTAAATTAAAAAAAATATTGGTTACTTCTTATTTATGTAAACATGTTGTTGTGTATGGAAACTTACTGTAACATACTACAACTGGAGGGTTAGACTTATCCACATTGTTGATGACATATTAATAAAAATTAAGTTTGAAAAAATGCTGAAGATTAAAAAAAAGAACAATGTCGATTTATTACCTTTTCTAAAAAAATAACAACAAAGTAGCCAATAGGACCGATGTAAAACAGCCCTGTTACAAGTGATCTACATGAGATCAAAGTCAGCTCCAAAGATACAACAAAAAAAAAAACCAGACAACACAAAACCCCGGTAACACACCGCCTGCTCTATGTTCTCCATAGACTGCACGGTGGTGACTCTGCAAGAACACCATCGCTTTTAATTTAACCCATTGAGACGCTTCTCTTTTCTCAGCCTTTTCCCAGCTTTCATTTCCACATCAAACAGCCGGACGAGGCCGGGGAGGAGAAGAGAGGGGGGGGGGGGGAGGGGGGGGGAATGGGGAGGGAGGGGGGGGGGGGGGAGCCTCTATTAACGCTGCCAGCGGAGTGTGGAAAAAAATCTCCCCGCCAAGCTTCATCAACCTGCAGGATATTAAAGCGGAGCACACCCGGGGGGGGGGGGGGGCGAGCACGATACACGGGCACGCGGACGGTGCGTGGACACCGCGCGCACGACCAAAAAAAAAAAACAATGGCGTGGATTCATTACACGGAAACTTTAGAAAGATAGACAGACTGATAGATAGATAGTGTGATGACCACTTTAATTCCCCCCCTAGATAAACTCAACACGGCTGCAACAGTCTCAAATATGTCAGGTTGTAATTTTCAATAAGTGTGTACAAAATGATGCAGTCATGAAGTGCTGATAACCCCTCTGTGCTTTTAGCCCACAAGCACTTTAGGTAGGCTAGTACCACGCTTTATATGTTAACCATTATTGGCCTACTTTTGTAGGGAGGACCATTGGTGTAAGAGGAGTGTACTGATGAATCATTTCAACTTCTTACAAATGGGGAATCAGTTGGTAGCCAAAGACTTGACTGTGTTTTCAACTTGGGTCATTTATAGGCGTGATCTGGAGATATGATCCATTTCACCATATGGGGATGTAGGACACTACATCACATAAATAAGAATATTTTATGGATATAACCAACAGCTGCATAACATCTGAGAAAATAAAGTGACAGTAATGTTTTTTCTCTCTCTGTGTAATCAGAACTCTGCCCTCTGTATTTATTTCTGTCCATGTAACAAACATTAAACATAATATTTGTGCAATCTAAACTAAGGAACTAATATTGGTCTTTATGTGTATTTGGAAAGAAATGTGCAGAATAGCTATTATGAATAAACGCAGAGCTTCTGAAGATTGATTGTTTTTTTTTTTAAATGTTTGTATACTTTGAAGAAAACCAGATTGTTGAGGATGTATTTTCAACTCTTCAGTCTACATACCCAAAAGTTCAAAAGGGTAAAGAGTGGCTGTTACATGCTGAATGTGAACCTGGTCAGTCTGCTCGTGTTGTGTATTTACCTCTCCCACTGTGGCTGGACATTTCCCTGAGTTTCTGCTCTCTGCTCCACCAGCTGAACGTGACGCTCTCCTCCACGCTGTCCCAGTTTAAAGTGTTTTTACTCCCCTGCCCACCTCGTCTGGCATGAGTGTGCTCCTGAACGCACCGTCGAGCACACGCTGCAGGAGAACATGGAGGTTTATGAAAGTGGCTGTTTGTCATGTGTGACGCCTGAGAGCTGGTACAGAACAAACACTCAGCTGGTGCTCGCAGTAGCTCTCTGCAGGGAAATACAGCTGTTTATTGAATTCAGATCCCCTATGTGTGCCTTTAAATCCACTGATGTTCACTTTACAACGTATACAGAACAGGGCGTTGCTTCTGCACATGTGTAAAAATACTGAAAAATAATAGATCAAATGAAATGATCAATATTCTTAAAGCACCAAAGATCCTCTTTCCTCATCCTTTGGCTTCCTCAGATGGCTGCTCCTGTTACACATAAAATGTCCCTTCATTAACTGCTTGGTAATAAGGACTGACTGGTGCCATTAATCATGTTATAATTATACGAAACAGATTGTAATTTTAGTCGTTCACGAGTAAATAGGGAAATGCCAAAAGGAGGATTTGCTCGACTAGAAGAAGTTTGAAGAGCGAGAATCACTCTTTGAACTTCTGTTGAACAAAAACAAAGTTAACTTCTATTCAATATTTTGTGCAAAATTTCTGGCTAATTTTGTAACCAATATTAATTTAAAAAAAAGTCAGCATACAGTATATTCATTTAAGAGATGATAAATTCTGAGGATGTCAACCTTTGACCAGACTTTGCAACGCTGCTGTACAGGATTTCTGCCAACAAAGTTTGGTTGTGTTCTTTTATACAACGACATTAAATCTATATATCTTTCACTAAAACACTGAAAGGTGGTGTAGAAGTTTTTACATGTATATGTGGAACACAAACTTTCAGACTAACAGAGAGTTATTGTACATCAACTTTAACATCTGAAATAATCAGTGGTTTGGTTTTCTAGAGTATACGCACAAGTAAAAAAAATCTATATATTAATGTAACTGTGACTAAAAGTATCAAATGTTGAATTTCAAGATGCCATTAAAGCTGTCAGGTGTCGCCGGGACCTGCTGTGTGCGAGCTTTAAAATGAACCAAATAATTAGCAGAGTGTCACAGACTGTTAGAGTTGTGTTGTGTGATGATTGACAGCAGAAGTTACAGTGAAGGCTTTGTTTTCTTAACTAATAAAATCCACACTGTGTCCCACTGTGCTCAGCCAGCTTACATTAGCTTTGCTCTGCTGATGTTAACGTGTCAACTGACTTCACTGGCACCAACGAAAGAATCCATCTGAACATGTAGAGTAGTTTTTCATCTCACTGCAACTTTTTTTGTGCATTTATCTGTGTCATTTTTTCCCCTTTTATTTAATTTAAAAAACCTTTTCTGAAGAAATGGAATCAAAATATTTAAAAAATGTTCAAATAACAAAGAATGATTCGAATAATAGAGACAGAAATGACTCCTTTATAAAATCAGGTGACTGGGTTTTTTTCTTATCAACTGGCCAAAATAAAAATATATAATTACAAAAACATTTGACAGTTTTTAATAAATCATTTATCACTGGATTGTAAAAAGGGCTACACTTGAGAGGAATCCCATAATGGCATTTTTATTGTTTTAAAATATCAACCATGATTATTAAGCCTTTATAATGTTCAACACAAATCTGTAACAATGTTGTAACTGTTCAAACTGTTTTCCTGCTGAATCTTTGCACCTAGTTATTTTTAGTGTCCTGTAAATCCCAGTTTCAGATTATTTAGCAACAACTGCTTGACTATATATATATATATATATGTTGCATTAATTATGAAGGTGCAAGAGTTGACATACGCCCACTGCTTCTTAGGAAAAGACCCACAGTTTATTTTAGACTTTTTATTTTATTTTATTTTAAGTGAGAGATTTTATTCAGTAGGCCTGTTTCTCTTTTTCAGTTTCAGTTTAAACGAATTAAAGTGCCTGAAATGAGGCTAAAAATAAAATGTTTATTACACTATTCTACATCCTATAATCTGAGTTAGACCAATGAGATGAAAGTTATTATTAAAAATGTATTTTTTTAGGGACACATGAATCTCTAAAAAAAAGATGCAGAAGGGAGCCTATTTCTATTCATAAGCTGCGTTTGACTTTCAGACACAGACAGCGATTGTTCAGCTTTTTGTGAGCCTGTAAGCTGAACCTGAATGATCATTGGCTTCTGCTCCTTAAAGTTTTACGCTCACCTGGACATGAGTAACATCTTTTTTTACGACAGGAACATTTTTGCCTTATTTTTCTCTCACCAATATGAGGCTATTACAGTCCCGTCAAATACGTTGTTTGTTGGTGTTTATTCTTTTTTCTATTTAGGTCTCATTGTCAGAGAGCCTCTATGGTGCTGCCGATATAACCACAAAGACGTCACATCGATTATTAACACACACATTTGAATGAGAAATTGAAGTCATGGCTTACCTTTCAACGACGCAGTTCAGAAATAAAAAACGTCCCCCCCAGCAGATATCGTGATATTATCCAAATGACGGCTCACTCAGGCGGTATGATTCGGTGTGTGTGTGTGTGTCCGCTAAGTGTTGCAGGAGGCAGGAATGTGTGATGTGCGGGGTCGTCCTGCCTTGTGTTGTGTGTGTGTGTTGCCAACACTCAGCCAGGTTTTATCCAACCGGGGCTGCGCAGAGGATGGAGCCCTGCAGCCATTGGAGGACGACTGGAAGAGGAGGGAGGGGAAGGGGGCGTGGCTTTATGGAAAACCAAAAAAAAAAAAAAATTATATAGGACACATTTCAAAAACTGTTTGTTTCGATTCACCTCCAGCGACAGCCCAGCTTTAATTAGACACCGTGTGTGTGTGTGTGTGTGTGTGTGTGTGTGAGTGTGTGTGGAGAAGAAAAAAAAAAACAGACTTTTTATCCCATCTCGTCAAATGCCAACGCAGTCGGATTCCGCCGCGTCAACAAACAATTTAGTGCTTGATTTGACGCAATCCGTCTCTGACATCCTGCACACCTGACCGAGGAACACACCGTGCATGTTTCCAAACTTTTACCGAAGCTTGGTTTGGGATCTGAAATAGACAGAAGTCAATGTAGCTCAGGTTGTAAAAGAAGAATTCAGTCACATTCTCTCATCCCAATAAGTTATGTGTGATTATAAATGCACAACTTTTATGTTTCCTAGCTCTGACTTTTTAAAAATTGGTTTATCATTGAACGAGGTGTCTCTAATTCATTTTAAATTGTACAAGTTGTCCTGTTCCCTTGACCCTCACTCAAACTTTATAGGCTGGAGAAGTGACTTTTTCTTCTGGCCCTATTACACCTTGACTCTATTACACCTTGACTCTTCCAGGATTCAGTCTTTTTTTTTTTGTACACTTGGCTAAATTAAATTAATCCTATTTATTTGAAATCAAATGACACTGCATTTATTGCCGCTTGACCATTGATAACATAAAATTAAGTGGATGACATTTGTGGGCTGTTTCATAGCTCATTTTTTTCTTGTCCTGAAGTTCATCCTGAGAGAAAAATGACTTTGAATCCGTTATTTCTCAGGGGGGGAAACATAACTAAGAATGAAAACAAACTACTTTAAAGCATACACAGACAGCAAATGTTTAAATATGGTTAAAACAAACTATCTCCCTCCAGCTGTATCCTCCAGCTTCCAGTTACTCAATTCAAAGAAATTAATAAACCTAAGAAATACATTTTTTTTCAGCTGAGATGTGTTTGCAATATTAGAAAATAATTCTGCACTATATGCATGTAGTTATGTATTTCTGGCTTGCATGCAAAACGACCTGCAGACGCTTCTGGGCAGAGTTTGATTTGCGTGCGTCGTGGGGCTCTGTTACGCGTGATGTCACACCAGGGTGTCAGGGTGTCCCCCCTGAGTTAAAACGTTGTTAATGTTGTTCTCACGAGCCTGTAAAACAAACACAACACCTTTAATGACACACATCCATGGCACCGTGTCGTCTACTGATAGAAAAGCAACTTTATGGACCTTTTTTTTTTGTCTTTTTTAAGAGGATTGTTTTAGGTTACTTTTCAGGAAGAGAAAATGAAACAAATTCAGAGTCTGCCTCTTCATTTGGAGTAACTGCAAATCTAAGGGAATTAATTAATAGTTTTAAATGAATGAATTTAGTTTAAACGAGAGGTTTAAAGAAAGAAAATGAGAAAAGAAATGCGGGCATACCCAACCTCAGTCCTTATCTCGCCAGCTCGTGATTGAAGTCCTTCAACCCCTGTCTTTAGAAAGATGCAGGACAATGGGAGCGTCTGTTTTTAAATAAATAAAACAGCCAGGAGACTAAAGGGAATCATAACAGGAGCTGGAAACAGAGACAGTCCTCTGTAAAGCGACCAGAGCGCAGAGAAAATGACAAGTGCCTGCAGGGTGAAGAGGCAGAAGAGAGGTTAAAGAGAGTTTAACAAGGGATTAAAAGTCACAGATTGGTATCTATCGCGATGATACCTTGAATTAAAAGAACGCTTAATTATAAGGGTCCAGTCGCCAAAGGGGCAGCAGTCACACACGCCCTAAACACGGACTTCCATAACGCACACAGAATGATTTTTTTTTTTTTTTTTAGAAAAGATCTCACTGAAGCATCTTTCTGTTTCTCCTCAGGCTTCATGTCAAAACGTTTAACACGGACTAAATGCTGATTTGTGCTCCAAAACACTTCGTCAAGTGAGAGAAACTTTCTTTATTGCCTTCGTTTTGACACTGAAATATGAAATATGATGTGCAGTTTGGGATGCAGAAACGCACTCTGAGAAGGGCCAGGAAAAAGACACATTGTTTTCGTTAAAATATTGGTATTCCTAAAGAGATTAAATGTAGGTTTGTAGGGCAGAATAAAGTGAGATTTTCTTAAATAATTGTCTGTCTTTAGGCTACTCTAGAATTAAAAATAAAATACTTATTATTTAAAAAAA